TATATTTCCTACAGTAAAAGATCGATAAAACGCGACTAAAAGTGCTAAAAAGTGACATTTTTCAATTTCAAAGGGCAGGCTAAACAGTTAATTCTTAGATTTATCAGCAGGGTACACGGCTATCTTGTGTCTTTGCAATACGCGGCAGAACGCGATAACAAAACTACATACATGCAAACTAATATTCGATGCATATATTGAAGGGAAACTATAATTTAATTATAAACTTACCAATGCAAAATTCATCGAACTCCAAGGAACGGTGAGCACTGTAAATAAAAAAAAAGAAAACATAAGTTAAAACAAAAATATTTCATACGATTTAGTAATATTATAATCACACAAGGGAAAAACAAACAATCTGTTCATGCTGTTTGGATAAAAGTTACTTACATCAGCACGATAGGTCATCCTAATGATAAATAAATCAATATGTGGGAGATATGGATCCGATTCACCTAACCACTCTACACTTTGTGAGTTGCAATATACACTTAACCGGCATTTAAGGACAACAAACACGCAAATATTAAATAATATTACTAATAGTTTCAATTAAAAAATAGTGGTTTGTGGAACGAGTATAATAGAAATTTAAAAAATAGAAGTCCGATCAAACGATACGAGACGCGAGAAATGCGTCTGATTCAACCGGAGATCGGTACGAAACTGGTGGCAATCCTCGGATTGTGTTTGCCGTAGCGGAGCATGCAATGACGCGACAGTTTATGATAAGAAAGCAAGAGGTGCGCGCGCAAGGCCGGCACGTCGATGCCGAACTAAGATGCAGCAACGTGCGGCGTGAGGTGCTGGCAACGACGACACACGACAATGCGATAAGAAAGTGTACGAGGGTAGTCCGATAAGTATTTAGCCTTTTAAAGAAAAACCGAAAATTTTGGAAACCTATCATTTTATTTCTCAACATAGTCTCCTTCTAGCTCGATATACTTGACCCAGCGATGTTCCAACTTTTTTAACCCGTCGGAAAAAAATGTTTTCGGGAGGTCTGCAAAATATGCTACCGTGGCGGCAATGAGCGACTCATTTGACTCAAATTTTTGCCCGGCGAGTGATTTTTTCAATTTTGGGAATAAAAAGAAGTCACACGGGGCCAAATCTGGCGAATAAGGTGGATGTGGCAGCAATTCATAGTTTGACCAATTTCGCTGTGGCGATGTTGGAGCTGTGGGCCGGTGCGTTGTCATGGTGGAAGAGCACTTTTTTTCTGGCCAAATGAGGCCGATTTTTCCTTAATTCCATGTCGAATCGGTCCAATAATTGGGCATAGTATAGTCCTGTAATTTTTTTGCCCTTTTCTAGGTAGTCAATGTAGATTACCCCTTTTGAATCCCAGAAAACAGTAGCCATCACCTTTCCGGCCGATGGGACAGTCTTCGCCTGTTTCGGAGCACGTTCTTCGGGTAAAGTCCATTGTTTTGACTGTTCTTTGGTCTCGGGTGTATACCAGTGGATCCATGTTTGGTCAACAGTTACAAAACGACGCAGAAACTCCTCGGGATTGCGCGAAAACAGCGCCAAACACTGCTGGGAAGTGGTCTCACGGTTGCGCTTGTGGTCCGGAGTGAGCAAACGCGGCACCCATCGCGCCGACAGCTTTTTCATGCCCAATATTTGATGCAGGATATGACCCTCGCGGATTTTTGAGATGCCTATTGTCTCAGATATCTCGCGCACCTTTAGTCGACGGTCTGCTAATACAAGATCATGGACTTTTTTCACGTTTTTCTCGGTGGTAGCTGTTTTTGGAGCACCTGGGCGTGGCTCATCAAAAACCGACGTGCGACCACGTTGAAATTCATTATACCAATTTTTTATGGTTGCAATCGAAGGAGAAGATTCACCGTATACAGCATCCAGTCGGTTTTTGATTTCACTGCGCAATTTCCCTTCCAAAAACAGGAATCGAATCACCGATCGATATTGCTCTTTTTCCATTTTGTCTAAATACGCGGACACGTCAACTCTCAAACGCGATTAAAACCAAAACTAAACGTTTGATCTGGTTTAAATTTTAACTGTGGCCCTCTATAGAGACGTACTACACGATAGTACATTTCTTTTTTTGATTTGGCTTCATCGGGCGCCAAGGCTAGGTACCTACTTGTCGGACTGCCCTCGTATATTGTGTTCAAACAAACACAATTCGTGTATACAATTTACAATTTACAATTTTTAGTCCATGCTGTTGCCATCTACAAATGATACAGTAGTTCCGAAATTTAGATTAGTACAGGTAATAAAAAATTTAAATTCGATATGAGTAATTCTGATTTCATCGGACAGATTTTACATTAAATATTTAAGTGATATTTAATTTGAACATGCATCGTTTTTCGTTTACCAGGTAACACATTAGTCCGTAATCATCTGCTGATAATAAAACTGTATTAGAATTAATATAAAATTGTTAGTTATATTCAAGAAAGAATTGAAGAATATTTACGATGCTAATATAATAAACATCAACGGTGTGTTTTGATTCCACGAAATAAAGATTCGATACCTGCAGGTATACAAACTTATCTCTTGCGCGAAATCGCGTGATCCACACGGACACGGTGTGCACTCACTACCACCAACAAACAATATTTAATGCAAACCGTACATCGTAGCGCCATCTAACCTTTGAAAATATTTGTTAACTTAAAAATATTTCAAACACATTTATCAAATATGCAACAAGGTTGATATTGCAATGAATTTGAAAACAACAAAAGTCATACACAAAACAAACCAGTATTTAATGAAACCCGAAAAAACAATGATAAATCACAATTAAATGCAAATTTTTGCGGGTTACAAGGAGAGTTCTTGCAACAAACTCTTACAGCCCGACGGAGAATTTAATTCCGCATCTTTTGACGCCAGGCTGAAGTTACTGACTGAAACGCCTAGATCGCGCGCAAATCCGAAAAAAAAATCGCAATAATATGCAAGTACGCTGTATGCGGCATGAGAAGATAGCAACGCTACACAAAAAAGTTGTTTATACACAAACGCAATGTCCGACGCAGAAAATAAACCGAAATATATGAGCCGTTTATTTTGAAAGTGACCTAACTCCGTTTTTCAATTTTTTACCGGTTACCATGGTTACATGTACAACTTCATGTTATTTATCAGTGACACACGTCAGATTGCTTATATTCAGAGAAAATACGGTACATTTTTTACACATAGGTTTTCCGAATTAATTGAATAACTGACCCGTGTGGTTTGAAAGTGGCCTAACTCCATTAATAGTTACATCAAGGTATTTACTATTGATAATATCGGAAAGCAGCGATGAAGGTAATTTCAATTAATTAGTATTTACAAGTCCACCTCATTTTTGGGACAATTGCGTTAGTTAATTAACCTGTACGTTTAATTAATATAAAACTTAAAATTTAATATTAAATTATAGAAATTATTGCACCCATGAGGAAGAACCGAAGAAGACCACTTAGTTCAGATAGTGAAAATGAAATAGTAATTAATAATTTAAAAAAAAAGCGAATAAGAAAAAGAGTTATAAAACAATATTCCTCGTCAGAGGATGAAGATTCAAATAACAATGGAGAAAAGATTGATGCACCATATATCCAAAAAGTGCGAAAGATAAAACGGAATTCAGGAAAAAGATATTGCAGTTAAACCGGAAGTATTGTTCATGAAAAAAATTTCGAAACAAAGATTATGGTTGTCGGAATGCGTGCACAAAAAATTATAATGAAGAAGAAAGAAAGAATATTTTTGAGAAGTTTTGGGGTTTGGCAGATTTTAACAAACAAAATGTATTACTTCACGAAGCTGTCTGTGAAACGAAGACGTTTTTTTTCTTCAATTTGAAACATCTTAAATTATGTTGAATGGACTTGGGCATCTTCAAATTTTATAATGAATCTGGCTGTTAATTTTGAAAGTGGCCCAACTCCATTCTTGATAAGGAAACGCACGTTATTTACTTAATAATTGCCACTATTTTAACTGGAACTTTAAATTTAACATCCTTAGATACGCTTAAGCAGTATGACTCCTTTGTATCTTATACGTATATTTTTAAATTCATTGAAACGCAAAACTTTCAATATCTCGATTTGAAGATAAATGGAGTTAGGCCACTTTCAAAATAAGCGGCTCATATAATTGAATTCTAACTTACCAATGCAGAACTCAACAGACTCCAAGGCACGGCAAATACTGTAAATAAAAAAAGAAAACATAAGTAATATTATATTCACACAGCGGAGAAAAACAATCTGTGCTGTTAAGTTAAAAGCTACTTACATCAGGACGATGGGTATCCAAATGATGAATAAATCAACATGGCCACGATACACTTACGCGCAAATAATAAATAGCTGTACTAAAGTTACTAAAGTCGAGTTAAAATTAAATAGTCGATTGATGATCGAATATAAGACGAATTGGAAAGTAGAAGCCCGGATAAACGATACGAGTCGCGCAAAACACGTCTGAACCAACCAGAGACCGGCACGAAACTGGCCGCAAACTGCATAAGCAACGACGGGGCAGTTGATGATAAGAAAGCAAGAGGTGCGCAAGGCCGGCGCGTCGATTACACGCGACTTTGTGCGTGAATTGCAATAGATGCGCAAACACGGCAGCGCGTTGATGGCACGCGACCTTGCGCGCGAATTGCATTTGGCACTTTACCTAGGATCAAAATTAAACTAAGACGCAGCAACATGCGGCGTGAGGTGCTGGCAACAATCGCACGGCAATGCGATAAGAAAGTGTATAGTGTTCCAACAAACACAATTCTTGTGTCGAAGGTTCACGTTGATAAATATAGAAATAAACAATACAATTCCAAATTGATTTTTAGTTTATGGTAGTGCCATCTAAGAGTGATACAAGTATGTAATACATAAAGATATGAATTCTGATTTCGGATTGTGATAGACAATTTATTTTGAATCATTAGGCATTAATAATAATTTCTGAACTAATTCTGAAAACGACAAAAATACTTATTTTTAAATCTCTGTTTTATTTTAGTGATAAAAAGAAGGAAGCATTTGCAACTTCTCATAATAATAAAAATTACATATAAAATAGACACACTTATACTTCATAACAATATGTTATGCTTTCAGGTCATTCGCACAGTAAAAATGAGCGAATTATGCAGACCACCAGAACACAACTTACTAACTCAGAAATCTTCATTTAATTCTGGCATCATGGTGAACCTGGGCGCCTGTTTCCAAATGGCACTGGAATTTCTTCGCAGTTTCTTCGGATCCAAGTTCGGGAACAACTCCTGCAAGTTGGGCGTCTGCGCCTTGACACAGAACAACGTATTGCTTACCTTTGCATCGATGAAGCTCATCGCACGTAAGCGTGGATGCAACGCCTCCCGTGAGTTCCACGGCTGCAACTTGATGTTCTTAGGCGCATCCTCATCGTCAGAATCATAACAATCGGGCGTGGGCATCAATGGCGCCTTCTGAGTCATATACAGCGGCTCTACTGATTTCGGCAACGACGCCAGTTGCCTCTCGGCCATCTCAAGTTCCTTCTGTATCTGGCGCGCCTTCAACACCTGTTGCCGCTTATCCTCCTCAGCCTTTCGCTTCTCATCCTCCTCTCGTTTCTTCAACGCGCGCAATTCATCAGCACGCTTACGCTCCTCCTCTTTCTTCAACTCTTCATGCTTCTGCTTGGCAAGAATACGTCGCTTTTCGGCATCCTCCCGCTGTTTATTAAGACGATCTTGTTTCTCTTGAAGCTGCTGCTTGTGCCTCTCCTCCCTAGCCAACTGTTGCTCAAGAGCGCGCTTCTTTTCCTCCTCAAGCGCAGCACGTTGCAACTTTGCTTTCTGCTCTTTCTCCTCACGCTTGCGACGCTTATCCTCTGATAATTTAAGCAAATACGCGTCCTTTTTCTTCTGTGCCTCGGCTTCCTTTTCCTTACGCTTCTGCTCGTAGTCCCTAAAGTGTTGGGTGGACATTTTAATAGCACTGAGCGCTTTCTGCGCGCTACTTGACAAATTCGACTTGCCCGAAGTCATCGACGGTAAAGCACGATTCGAAGCAACGGGCGTAACAAAACCGGGGATTTTAGTCTTACCCGCTGTAGGACTCTCATCAGTGTCATCCTCGAGTTTCTTTGCTTCCTCGGCTGCCTTGGCCTTCTGTCGTGATTTAGTCCTGGTTACTCTTGTAGTTGTAGGTTCAACAGCTTTAGCGCCAAGTTTCTCAAACGCTTCCACTTTTTCTTCACCGGACTGTTCTCAAATGGATTAAACAACTGTTTGCCGACTTTTTTAGTTACAGGCACCGGTGGTTTCTCCTCAATATCCGACTCATCATCAGTCATGATATCATCAACAGTCGGCAGTGTTTCTTTCTGTGTAGGCTTAGATATTGTAACAGTAGAATTCAACACCATCGTGGTCGGATGACCTGACGGATTACCTGCTTGAATCGTAACCGTCTCATTCATGATGGCTGTTTTTGAAATGGTGATTGTCGCATTCGGATTATGCTCAATACTGGATAAAACATCCTTGCTCAATCTATCCAATGCCACAGTCGGTAATTGAACGACAATTTCATCATCATGTTCTAAATGTTTTGGTGATTCCGCAGGGATAATTTCACCCGCCGGAGGTTCCACAGCATCCTCATACAATGATGTATCAGTGGATTTACTAGGAGTAGACTTCTTCCTTTTGCTACGCCTTGTCCGACTCGTAGTTTTCTTTGTTTCGGATGATGGACTTCTGGATCGCTTCGATGTTTTCTTAGTTCGCGTCGCTGATTCAGTCTTCTGCCGACTACGCGCCTTTTTCTTGTTTGCAGATGCAGGTGGAGAATCTGTTTTCGATTCAGTTGCTGATTCAACTGCCTCGTCGACTTCGAGCTCTTCTTCAGTCGGGATTACTTCTTCATCAACACTGTCGAGTGATATGGTTGCAATATTATCTTGCACCAAAACCACATCAGAGTCCATGTTTGCATTGTCGTCCACTTCTGCTGGGACGTTTGTATTTCGCATGCGTGTTGTACGGGTGCTGGCTCGTTCGACTTTGATGGTGGGTTCCTTCTTTTTACGACCACCACGCTTGGGTAAGGCTGCTGGCGGTGGCATCTCAATCGGTTCCTGTTTTACATTTTTTACTGGAATTGATTCCGAAGAAGCTACACTAATGCGTTCAGTTTTGATATTTACATCCCGACGAATTTTGTCCTTTAAGGACACATTCACTTGTTGCGTCAGTCTTTCAGATGCATGTGTGTATGCTTGACGGCGTGGACGGCCAGATTCAAATGTCTCATCATTTTTATTTGTTGAATTCAAGTTGCTATTTGTGATGATTTGTGAGGATTGATTTGTGTTATTGGTGTTGTTTGTTGCATTAATATCTAAACAATCACAAATTATTATATAAAAACATCATAGACAGATTGTACAAGTAATAGCAAATGCATTCTTACCAATATTTTCCTTTTCAGAAGCCTTTTTCTTTGTTGATTTGGGTCCAGCCTCTTGATTTCTTATTTTGAATTCCTTCAGCATACCTTCAATCACACTAGTAGCATCTGCAGATTTTGGGTTGGCGATGAGTTTCAATAACATGGCATTTTTGCTGCGTACCTATTAGAACACAAAATGTATTAGAAAGAAAAAATGCGATGCGTGTGTTCTTACATCAATCAAATTAAGGTTGGAGAATTCTTTAGTGAAATCTGAGTGGATTTCATTCTCAATATTCATTAACTTATTCGTAAATGAAGCCATGGTTTAAATGAGAACCAACAGTGGATTAAAATTAATTTAAGAGAAACAGTAGATCGTAATAAGACACAATTCACACGCGCACAAGATAAGAAATGGAGGGAACTCCTTCAACCGGTACACACGTACGATGACAAACTTCAAAAAGACGGTTACAAGACGGCACCCGTTGAAACCGGATTCAAAATATTATAGGGGAGGGGAAAAGTCGGAAATGCCCGACAACGCACGAAACATGATTGACTGACAGCGCAGTTTGATTTTGGTGAAATCAAACTTAGAGAAATGCAAATAAGCAAATTCGACATGCAATTTGCTTAAAAATCAACTTTATTTGCATGTTAATTCGATCAACGCATATCGCACTCTTCCATATCACCAGAAAAATTATTTTGCAGGTAAATGAAGACGCCATTTATATAAAAATACATTCCATTTTTACACAGCTGTGATTTTTGTCCGAATGCCATCAAATCAGTTATGTACACTTAGAGAAACTAAACTCCGCATTGACTGCGCGGCAATGCAATGCAACGTATGCGAATAATTTAATCGAGAACCTATTGATCAAGCGTCACAACGTGTTTAAAACATAAGTCCGGCTTAATACTGTTCATAAGTACCATTATAAAACCAACAAGAGCAGTAAGAAACACTAAAATTAATAAAACTAGTGGAACAAACGTATTTCTGCAAATCATCGTGTGTCTGATTGGTGCGAACATGAAGAGAGAAATGGAAAACACGCATATACAGTCACACGACTAAAATGTACTTATTTGGCTTCACTTCTTCCACAGCGTTCGGGCCTTCTCGGTCATCTTCCGCACACGCCCGCGGCTGCTCACGGTCCTACCGCGATCGGACTCGGCGCTGTCCTCGCTATGCCTGTCCCTCTCGTAGTGCTTGAGAGGCAGATTATCACTATCCGTGTCGTCAGAGTCGTCACTCTCGTTGTCCTTCTCCTCGTGCTCGGCGGAATGCACCCGCCGTCGTTTAGGTCGTGACCGGAGGTTCTTTTAATACCGCTGTCACTATCCGAGCTGCTGCTTTCATGATGCGATCCGGAACTAGCGTCCTCCTCTTCCTCCTCGCTGGTGGACACGCAAGTCATCGGCTTTTTGCGTTTGTGATTACTGGTGCTGGCATATCTACTAAGCGGTTGATAATCGCTGTCATCTTCCGATTCGATTATAGGCTGTTTGCGCATGCGGTGTTTGGCTAAGACTTCATCATCGCTATGATCGTCCGTTGATTGTTGCGTGCGAGTACTCGCCGGCTCCTTGTCGGCTTCCTCCTCGCCGCTGGCTTCCGATGTAGATGCGTGAGGGTTTAGTATGCGGTCAATTGCACGCAGGGATTCACCGTCGTCGTCCGAGCTGTTGGGCATGACAAACATCATACTCGCGGCGGGTTGCAGACGTTTAACGGCACTGCGATTGCGCAGACAGCGATTCTCTTTCTCGCTGTTATCCGAATTGGCTCCGTTCGTTTTCGCTCGCGGTGGTTGTTTACGAGCGCTTTTGCGAACTGTGGGGCCTTTATTTCGCGAACGCTTCCATCCGGAGGCGATTTGTGCCATTTGTCCCTCGAATATATTCGCTAATCTCACAGTCATTGAGTAAATCTATTGAAAAACAAGTTAAATTAAACTAGGTTAAATTCATAGGTTATGTTAAATTACCCTAGATCGTTTGTTAGTGTTGTAGTGCTTAGAATTAGAAAATATCAGTCTCATGTCTTTTGCGAAATCGGCAGGTGACGAGTAATTACCACCGAATAATTCTTCTCGTACCGTTGACAAATCCATTGGAGTATCAATCACTTGGAAATAATCTAAAAAAAAATTGATTTAATTTTTTAAAATTTTTGTATGCAGACAAAAACTACCTGGATGTTTCAATGTATCAACCGGCGTCCTAAATGGCACCGAATCCGGAATATTGAACATGTCATCTAACAAACGCTTTGCATCATACCGCCAATCACTACTGTATCCATCATTGTAACTGCGCAAGTTACGCGCTTGCAAATGGCGCGTAGCGGAAACATTCGACGGACCCGGTCGGGGTTCATCGGCGTCCCCATCGTCGTCACTTCCCGATGATTCATACATGTCCATTAACTGATGATACACAACCTGGACATCAATCTCTTCTGTTGAATGTCTAAAGAGATAAATAAACATTACTTTAAAGTATTTACAAAAAGTGTACCAAAAAGCATACTTGATTATCCTAAGACATAAATCGGTGATAATCCTCGCCGATTTTACAATCACGCTATGCGGCTCGTTGAACTGCTCGGCGTTCGCGGCCAGATACCGCACGTCAAACTGCGCAGCCGCAATGCGCCGGTAGAAATGATTCTCAAATCGCGCCTTAATCGTAGATAAATCCACAGGATATTCCACGACAAACGCGTACGTTTTATACAGGTTCAAATCAACCGGCGCTAAAAATGGCTCCGCAATCGCCAACGCCATTACTTTATCCAGACAGCTGATGATTCGTCGACAGGCGCCATCGCGATCGCCAAGCGGCCATTCGTCTACGGCGGGTTGGTAAAGTATACTTTGAATCTCATCCGGTAGGACGGGCACCGCCTCACCGATTGTCTCCGGTAGTCCTGAAATTTATACACAATTTAAACAAATATCCAGAACAAAACAACACACAGTGATTTATTCAATTATCGGACAAGTTTACATTTCGTGAATAATTGCTGGCGCTGGCATTTCGCAGGTTATGAATTGCTTGCTGGACGCGTCGCTGTTCGCGTAAAATGTTTATTAACTCAAACTCCAAACGTTCTTTTTCTTCGAGGATTTTAATATAGAGCAATTCATTTTGTGATGGTGTGAATGGCGTTTTTTCTTTTATTTTGACATGTTGGGATTGGTTAATTACGCTTCGGGACATACTGGTAATTTTCGGTGAAAGCCAAATAAGTATTGCAGGTGAAATCACACAGAAATTTTTGACAGTTGGACGTTTAGTTTGTTTTTGAAATGGCAGCGATTAAAATGCCATCGTAGATTTAAAACGTGCTAAACGGCACTTTAGAAACATTTAACGCCACCTAGTGAGTAAATCTGTGACTCCAGTACGACTGCCATTAAAGAAATAGAAATAGAAAAAAATGTACTTACTATCATCTCTAATTGGTTCTAAATCCCACGGACACATCCGCTCCTTCTCCCCATTATCCCATTGAATCTCATAACACATAAACAACGACCCCGGATGTTCATCACTAAAATCCGACTTGGTTTCGATTTTGCCCATCCACCAACCATCGTCGATCATACAACGAAATCTAGACACAAATAAAGCAAAAATTTAGAATATTTAGATGAATATATTACTAAAATTATCTTATCTTACCGATCACCAATACTCCACGAATGTGCAATGGCAGTTTCGTAGGTTTGCTTGAGCACGATAAAGTCGAGGACGTCCGCCATGTCATGATACTTTATAGTGAAGACATTATCGGTGAGTTTGTGTTCTTCATCTAACAGCGCCAATTTCAGACAGCAAAGCCGTGGCGGTTTGATGATGTATTTTATACCGACTATTTTCACAAACTCCTTATCCTATTTTTTCAAAAATAAGTAAATATGTTTTAAGGTTAAGTAAAAACTGATGAAAATTGATGTTATGTCTTACCCTGAGTTTTGTTTTGGTCCAGGGCACATCCCTGTTGTTAAACGTGTAAATTTTCTTATTCTTCACTGCTTCCACGTACATCTGATGACCTTGAACGAAATAAACCACCTCATCGCCCATTTGTGGGCAATACGGAGCTTTTCTCGGCACTGTCTTCGATAACCATTCTAAATCCTTGTAAGCTTCAGGTATCTCGCCGTTTTTGATTTTGGAGTATGGTATACGTTTCTAAATGTTTTAAAAAATTAAACAAAAATGTTTTTTTGTTATTTGTTTTAAATTCTCACCGTTTTGGGTTTACTGGAATTACTCGTGCTAGGCCCATCATCCCCATTCATACTCCGATGTGCCGGTTTCCGTTTCGACCTCTTCGGCGGCTCCAAAACTTCACCTTGGTCAGCAACCCAATCAGAATACCCGGAGGACTCCTCCGTGTCCGAGCTGGAATCACTCAGACTCAAATCGTCATCTTTGGCGCTGGCGCTCGAATCGCTGTTACTGGTCGTCGAATGATTGCTGTCTTCAGCATCGACGTCCACTTCTTCGCCGTCGTGATCATGCTCGACAACGCGCGGCGCTGGATTCGAGCGACGCGTTCGGCGCGTGTTTACGTTACCGTTGCGTCTTCGACGATTGCGACCTTTTTCGTTTGACGTCGAGGTCGTGGCAGTGTTAATCATCAGCGGACGCTTCTTACTTTCACGTTGATAGTCAGCCATTTCAAAAGATGACATTGTTTCACTTTATAGAAAAAGATATTAATTAAATTGATTTGCAATGTAAAATTGTATTAAATAAACTTACACATAATTCCTAGCTACTTCTAATTCGGATTTGCACAATGGTCGCACCAGAGCCTTTTTACTCCACACAAAATTGGAATCACGCTGCCAATCGCCCGTGCTTTGTCGTATACCTTCCACAGAACTCTCTCCAGACCTGGACAAATTTTAAATTTAATCTTAGAAACAAAATTTGTTTTAAATTTTACCTTCTGGGTCCATTCCCAACAGCCCTTGGACTGGCAGCATTACTACCCCCTGCTTCCTGCTCATCATTCCCATACTGGCGTTGTACAAGCGCAGCAATCATGCGGTCAATATCACTCCGCGGTGCAGCTTCCGCCAAACCCTGTATCACCTCCTGCCTGCCACCTGTTCCAATCACAATATTCGGCACCAACTGCTCACTGGTACAATGTTCGCGTCCAGGCACCAGTCGTTGCAACATCGGCGGATACGGATTACCATCAATATCCACCAAAAATGGCGGAGGCATCAAATGTGGCGGCACCTGCGTCTGCTCATCCAGGACAGTATGATCTGCGTCACGCACCAGCGGGCGATAATCCGTATGGAAAAATAATTCTTTTGGCAGCTAGAATTAAAGTTAAAATTAAAAGTAGTATAAAATTGAGGTTAAAAATGTTTAAAAATATAAAAACTTACTAATTTTAGCTGTGGATTGCCGGTACCAAACGCATAAATCATAATATGTCCATGTGAGTCCGACGCGGCGAACATAGACCCATCCGGCGACCATTTCGCATCGAAAACCGATCCCTGTCCTTGTCCGTTATCCAAACTATTCGTGAAATGCGCCACTTTTGTCCCACGCAATACATCCCACACAAACAACTGTCCATCGTGTCCGGTGGATAACATAACATACGGATCTCTAGGATGTGATTCCAACACATACACGCCATCTGTATGTCCGGTCAACACGCGTTGTAACTGCCCGGTTGATGACTGCCATACCTTCAAACAATGATCGCTCACTGCGGTAATCACGAAGTTATCCGAATAGTCCCATGCAACCATCGTTACAAACAATTTCTTCGGTTCCTGATCTGGATCCTCAGTTACTGCACCTCCAGGCAATTTTGTATCCATTGATAACTTCATGAATTTCCACTGTTGACATTCAAAGTGCCATATGTATGCAGTGCCATCTTTACTACCGGAAACAAAGCGTAATCCTCGATGTGCCCAAACGATTGAATCAACTCGATCGCTGTGCACTTCGGTTTCTAGAATACGTTTTGGTCCTTCATCGCTGCGCATCAGGTAGATACGCACGTTGTGATCAGCGCTACCGGCTGCAAGGAAGGTACCACCGGGACTAAAGCAAGAGCAAATCATTTGTGATTGGCCAGGACGCATTTTCTCCTGATAGAGGATTGGTTTCGAGCCGAAATTGGCTCGTTTGCGCGCATCGTGATTGTAGGTCCAAAAGGCGACAGATCCGTCGGAACTGGTTGTGGTAAGGTATCGAATATCATAGTTGCCAGTCGGGCAGAAATGCACCGAGGTGATAATGCCTGTGTGACTGGTTAACACCGCTATAGGCGCGCCGGTCTGTAAATCCCAAACGCGGAGGATTCTGTCGATGGAACCAGCGGCGAGGAGGGTATTCTCTAAGTTTACATCAATGTCTGTGATTTCTGCTGAAGCACCACGGAAGGAATTGATTAGACGGCCGGAGTTCGCCGACCATAATTTTACAAGTAAATCATCAGCACCCTAAATAAAAATATTTAAAATTATATTAAATAGTAGTTTTTAATTATTATTTTTATGAAATACTTACGGAAATAACATATTTTCCCGTACGGTCAAAAAGTAAACAATATACAGCTGAGAGATGTCCTAAAGTTTGCACCTGCAGCTGCATCCAAGAGTATCTCGTCGGTGGAAGTGCAAGCGCTCGATGCACAGGGCCAGAAATTTCTCTTCCGGCCAATATGTGTGCTGTTAAAAAAATAAATCTATCAGAATATGTTTAAATACAGTATAACCTCTTTATAAGCAACAAAATCTGTTAATCTCTTGTTGCACCGGTTATAAACTCAAAATGAACAAATTTCGTAGTTATAAAAAGTTTGGCATTAAAAACGAGACTTTTTCGTTTTAAAATTACAGAAAATAAGTTTTTTTCTTCTTCAAAATTTTAAATCACCCGCATTTTAAGCACCAATAAGATGGAAATTAATATAAACCAACTAAATTGTACAAATTTCACCGTTATAAGGAGTTTGTTGTTAAATCGAGGTTATGTTGTATTAAATTTAGTAGTCCAATGTTGGACTTGCGGTATACACGCCGAACATATGTGTTACAATGTAATTTTTAAGGTTCTTTCACCTGTTTAATGTTTTTTTGTTATTTCAACCCAATTTAAACCCAAAATTATGTTAAATATAAAATAATTTTGTACTTACAAATGTTATGATTGACTTTCGGATCGAACGGATCACAAATCGGCATGCCATTGCGTCGCGTCGCATAATAGCTCGTCAGATACGGAATTTTAAAACTATCAGCTATGCGCAACAACGATTGTCTCCCCGAACCCAACAAAGATCGAACGCCTTGAATGCATGGTGGTATTTCCTTGTCCAAGATGGGTCCTATCCTGCTGCAGATCTCCAACAGGTGTGTAGGCCCAATATGGGGGTATAATCTCTCCTAGAATAATTTAACATCAATTTTAATAAATACCAATCTAAGTATGAGTAATTCTTACCAAATCTTCATATGTTCTTTCATGTTTATTGCCTTCCCAATCATATCTCGCTGGTAATATCTAAAAATACAAACAAAAATGTATTCACAATAAAAATTTACACTCAAAATTTAACTTACCTTCTGTTGTTCAAGTTCCTGACTTAAAACCTGTAAGCAATAATTTTTTATTAGTTTTCCTGATGCTTGAATTAAGTAATAGCAAAAGATTGTTGTGTTTACCTTGTATGTTTCAGTCAATGGACTCACAGCCAGGAACTTTTGTATTAAGAAGTAGAGCTCTGCAAAACACAACACAATAATGTGTGAATTAGTCACTACATCAACTACAGTATATTGCAACACAAGCAAATGTAATGCACAAGTAATAAAATGCTGAACCTGGTGCTAGTAGTTCTTGATTCCTCTGCTCCATTTCTTTGCGACGCTATCATAATACGCGCATAACGCAACCAGTAACCACAAAGCGCATCGTCTTCAAACGCCAGCGAGCGTCGTACGATCACGGCGTCTGTCCTCGCAGACGGCGATGGCTGAATCCCGCACGGCACGCACGATTTCGATGCAAGAGAACGTCGAGGACGGCGATTTCCTTTCGGGATTCTAACCTTTTTTCGGTTCTGTTCTAAGTCAGGCTGGTTTGCTGCTGCTTCGAGTAGCGAACAGCGTCGAGCGGATTGGGCTCGCGGCGCGACTGGGTTTCGGATGTGTACGGATCAGGTTTCTGTTTTGACGCGTGACTGTTCGATTTGTGGTGCGGAGAATTGCCGCCAGGTGGATACAATTGCAACAAGCGCACAGGTGTTGCAAAACAATAATATTCAACAATAGCAATAATATAATCGACATATTAATGCGTGGACTGAAATAGAATACGCACGGAATAAATAATAGACGTTTATTAACCTTATAGTCATCTTTACGTACGTTTTTTATCGAGTTGATGATAAGAACGCTAATTTTAAAGTTCAAGCATTGTCTGTATTGGCATTTACGTTATTTTTTATTACGCACGTGCTTATTGTCATAGCAACTAACAAATACAACCGTACAACCGAATGCCAGCAACGTATTGTTATTAAAAATGATGCAATTAGGTTTAAAATGTATCAGAATTTATGTTTTAAGCTCAAAACTACCAAAAATAATCTGTTTTAATTTTGATTTAACATAAAAAATGTTTTAAAATGTTTTTAAAATAAAAAATATGACTTTCCGTCCGTTGTACACAATCAAATATTTCGCCCACTGATAAAAATTCAAAGTTGCATCGTATAGGTTACAAAACACAAACAATAAGAGACGCTAACTACTTATCAAGCCGTTTTTTCAACGCAAAGATATTTCCAGACGAAACTAGATGTAAAACAATACATCTAAGTTTCTATAACAACTAATAATCTTCTCTATTATTTGTGAATCCTGCCAAAACCGAAGCGTTGCACCGGTGACAAGAGCATTGTTGTATACAACTCAGGTAAACAACTAGCGTTGCGTCCAAATCAAACGAAACCTAAAAACAAACAGTTAATCCAGTGTTGAGAACACATATCTACAAGATTCTACCACTAGAAGTATTTTTACAGCCATATTATAACAGAAACTCGTTTTAGTTTTTCATCTTATAATTTAAAACCGGCAAATTGCAATAGAAAATGACGCCACCAGTGAAGAAATATGGAGCCAAGAGAGTTCTCACCCGAAGCACCTCAGAATCAGCAATGAATGCTCTCTTTGTAACAAACATGTGCGCCAGATATCGCAGAAAGCACAAACAAACTCGGAAAAGACTCGATAGTAAAAATCTACCGGAATTGCCACCGATTGATGCCAATCATGACTTGCTAGATGATTCAGATTCATCATTTCATGTAAAAAGAGCCAATGATACATTTGATCAATTGAAAATGGAACCTATAAACCACACTACAGAAAAAACTACTCCTAAAGGTATTAAATCAGAGACTAGTGATGAAATAACACCAAAATCCAAAGAGAATAATAACATAAATCTAAGTAATTCACATGACAAATCAGAAATCATCTCAAAAAACTGCACATCACCTATGAACCAAGAGATTTTATCGTATTCAAGCACATTTGACAGTACAGCATCTAAATCAGGATCATCAAAGCGGAAAAAATCACCAGAGGCTGTTTTTAGTTTAGATGAATCCATTGAAGCAGATCTCAATATTTCTATAAGTAAAGTAAGAAAAAACTCGAATAATCTTGGCAAATCAGTTGTTTGCAGTACACCAATCACAGAAAACAAGAAATTAAAAGCGTTGCATGTTTTAACACCAGTTAAAGTCCATGATACTGCCAGTCATGAGTTGATTAATGAATCTGTCCAACAAGTTTACAACTGGAGTTACAAATCACCTGAAGTATCTGCTTACAATCACATTACAATGCAACGTGGCCGGAGATACAATGGTGAATTATACAATAATGAGAGTATCAATAATATTCATAAAACACCCGAGAAAAACGAGCAGTCGATGATGAAATGGGTTGCTCGAAGGAAAAAAGAACCGACGAATTCAACTTCTTCGATTTCCAGTCCGCCGCCACGAATGGTCGCCTTGAAATTCGCCTCGAATCAATCTCCACCACATAGTGGACATAGTGGAACAGCAAGCGCCATGTTGAGTAAATGCATACCGCTGAAAATTGCAATTACAAGACTGCCGGATGAGTATGTTTTGGATAAACTAGAGAAACAATCGTTTGAAGAGGAATCACTACCTAAACAGGATATAATTGAAGATGTGTGTGATGTAGATGATTTAAAAGACTTCGAACTGTGTGTAGGTGAAAATCCAAGCACTGAGGATACAAGGTCTGGTATGGATTTGGATAACTTTGAAAAGTTTTATACTTCGACCATTAATACTATCATGAGCAGCGTGGATGAAAATGCGAGTTGTTTTGATGTTGATTCATCAAATCACAATGATAATGTCTCTTCTGATTCAACCAAAAGTATAAGACGAAGGAGATTCACTCAAAATATCACAAAACGACGTCAATTACCAAGAAAAGCTAAAAAGTCCACATCAGTCATTGATTATTCTAATAATTCAGACTGTGGGTCTAAAAATGATGATGTAAGCGTTGAAAAGTCGAAATCTGAAGAAGTTAATCATGTACCTGAAGAAAAGCAAAGATATACAACACAAAGTCCTGATTTGTTTGCATCCACTTTGTTTGAGGAATTGAATCATGAAGTTATCCTCACCTCTGATGAAGAATCTCAAGCTGAATGTAAAGAAGAAACAGAAGAGGATATTAAGGAAGAAATATGTGATGATGTGGATAAAGAGGTTGAAGAAGATAAAGAGGATAAAAATGAGGATACAGGAAATAATAGTGATTGTTTTGTAAAACCCTGTATGAAAAAGAAGCCCACTTCCAATGGCCCTCTGGCGGTGCAACCAGGAAAAGCTTGGAGAAGATCACTGGCGTTTATGAAAAGGAATACAATGGTTGCTTCTGTTTTGCAAGGTAAATATTTATTTTCAAACTTAAATTTTAAGTTTTACTATAATAATATTCTGTGTAACTAATAAAACTTAAAAAATTTCTATTAATTAGAGTCGTTAATATAAAATTTAGACGATTTTTACGTTTTTTATTTTAAAAGTTTAAAATCATTGCAATATTTTCTATTTTTATTAAGATGTTTTACTATTATCTTGAGAAAATCGTTAGATTATTAACTAAAAACATAAATTACTAAAATTTACTGCTATTAAGTCACATTTGAAGTAATTTTTCATAGAAAATCATGTTTTTTCAGTCTTATACTAACAAATAGAATTGCAACTTGTAACATTGCACATAAACTATTAACTTCTTGTATTTTTCAGGAGAAACATGTACTTGCACTGATTGTGCAGTACCAAACTTAAACAACTGCATAGTCGCCCGCCAAACCATCATGAAATTAAGCCGTGAACCAGTTGAAAGACGCCGAACATCAAATATGAGTGAGTTTACCATCACATTGCTTTTCTACATAACAAAATGGCGTCGCAACTCAATATGGCACATATCTCTTACTCTTATTATTCGTACGTTGCTTCCCACCACCTCGTCTGTCACCACCATGAAAATTACAATTTTTCTGCGCTGTCCAATTATATTGACTGTAATTCTGATTGTAAAGATGATAATTATTCGTCCTGTGGTTATTATAATACCAATCATTGCGCAGCATGTGTATATCATCATGATATCTCTCACATTTTCTATAGGTGATCCTGTACGCAGGATATGCAGTGTTGTCATGATACTTAACAATCACTTTTCCATCATTACTCATTGACGAATCAAAGTTTTTATCTGGAAGGATCATTTCTGAGTTACCAGTTTGTGATTTCTTCAGCACAACATAACACAACAATGTATAGTAGATATTATTCGGTAGATGTTGTCCAAATTGTGTTGCAAAGTCCGAATGCGGTGAGAAACAAGTCCCGTGGCCATATTTATGCCCTCTGGCTGCTCCACACATCCGCCAATCGAAGTTTTCTTTCATGATTGATTCTGTCGAGGTGTATTTCGTCGCGTGGAATAATAATTTCGTTTGTACCGGTAGTGCAGGTTTCGCTTCTTGTAATTCATTGCGTTTGAGGATAAACGCCGCCATTAACGTGCGATTTTCAATTCGTTCGATGTTCAAAACATGGTAGTCGTTTTGATTGTCATAGGGAGTAAAGTGATCCATTACCATTTGATACTCTTCACATCCCTGGTAGATTTTAAAGATTAAATTATAGTCGATTGCTTTGTTGCGGGAGGACCAATAGTGTGTTTCTGGTGCGTTTTTGATGAGATTCTTGATTAAATTTGGCAGTTTAGTCAGTCTTACTACTTTTTGTTTTTCTTTGGGTGTTTCTGGTGTGATTATATTAACTGTTGATTGTGGTTGCAGGTAGATTTTATCTTTGGATGTGTGAGATCTGTATGAAGTTGATTTTGGTGATTTAAAGTTGATTTTCTCTGTTTTTAAGTTTAATTCTTTGATATTTTTGATTTTTTTGGTGTCAGAAATGTCTTTGTGGTCTGTTATTTCATCTTCTGTGCTGCGTTTGCGTTTTTTGTCATTGTTACAAATGTTATCAACAAGTTTATCAGGTTTTTCATCAATAGTTAAGTCAATATAACCATCCAAACCTGTTGTAGTGTCTTTTGTAAAATCATCTTCATCAGAAAATGGTATTTTGTTAGTTTTAACAACTTCCACCTTTGTTTTTGTCTTTATAGGTGTAAATAATCTCTTAACCAATGATTTTGGTTCTTTAGAAGGTTCTAAGTCATCACAAATTGACAAATTTGACAATTCAAACGAAATATTACCCACAGAAAGAGACAAAGCTTGAGTTAAACTTTTATCATGAGCATTATGAATCGGTGTTCCTGTTTTGGAAGGTATATTTACCAAATATTCCTCGTATGACAACGAAAACTTATCATCACAATCCAAAAGCACACATTCTTTAATATTTTCAACAATACCACCATCATCAACAGGTTTTTCCTTTGTTTCTTCATTGACACACTCACTGGTATTTTCTTTCTTTATAATTTCAGTATTATTATTAGTGTCTGTGTTTATTACACTCAAACCTTGCATTTTTAAGAGTAACGTTCACAATATTCACAATTCAGTTTAACTTAGGTTGGGAATTTGAAACAAAAAACTGCAAGTCTGGAGCGACTGTAAAGCATTAGGCGACTGCATATTTTCAAGGGTAAACCAAACACATTTTTGAATGTTTTCAAACCAGACGCATGCGCTGGTTTCACAGCTTGCACGAATTATGAAAACATACTGTGAAGGATGTTCCAAGAGTCATAAATTCTCATAAATTCTATATCATAAAAAGAACCCAAAACACTTGAATATTCCCAAACAATTGCCATCTATCGCGTTGAGTTATATTGACGGTGACAGTCGAAATTTTTGTTAGTTGCGTTATTGTTCGTTTTAGCTAATCAGTCATTCTCTAAATTCATAATAATTGTTTCTTGCATTCACGAGTATGCTAGCAAGCTGCAAGAGCAAATTACTGATTCCTACGATAACACTGAACCTCACGAGCCTTAATGCGCGATACTCGTTTGCATATCAAGGTATAACATCGATTTATTCATCATCTTATTATTGTTTTACGAGAGAATTCCACACAATGGCAATAATGGTGCCTTGAAGCCTGAATCAGCATCGATAACAGCAATTGCGTTGTGTGCGATATTTTTAAATTAAATAGCGTCGCGAGATGTGTATTGCACACGTGCAGGCAGTGATAAGGCGGTGGCCGTGACTCATGACCGGGAATCCAACGTGTTTCAACACAAAAAAGCAAAATATTACTCATAGCATTAATTTTTCAGTAAAAAATTCGAAAGTTTTGTGCAACAAGTGTTGCGTAAGTGTAGGAAATTCCCAGTGGAAATTCTAAGTAAAGCACGCATGCGCATTACGCCTAATGAAAATCTTGGACTTTGTATCCACCAATCATGATGCAGCATCGCGCTTACTTAAGCATTTAAACATTGTGTATGTATGCCGTGCGTGTTGATATTTTCGTCGATGACCCTGTGTGTGCGTGTTGCGTGTAGTGGGAAAGAATGACGTGTTTAACTGCGCATTATTCCACGAACGGCGCGCGGCATAAATGAAAAGCGCGCACAATTAGTCAGCGAGCCAGTCGAACGCGAACGCCAAACACTCTCGAGCGTTTCCAGTAGTGAAAGCGTGCATGCATCGATCCGAAGAAAGCGCATCCATCAAACGTTGTATGTTGATCAACGCTACGTATGTTTCTGCCGCAGAGTATGAACACAATCAATTCCGGGACACCGTTGCGTTGGAAGCTCTCATCGAGAATATATCGCTAAATGCAAGCAAGCTAGACGTCGACCACGACCCTGACGAAGATCACGCGCGCATCTGTCCGTTCGCTAGTGAGCTGGTGCTGCAACGATGCAAGCAGACGGCGCCCATCAACTTTTCACAATGGTATCCAGAGACGTGAGTAAAATATTCTAATCTTACACTAAATAAAATAACCTTGAATTTTTATCTGAATAGTTTACTACGAAATTGTCTGAAGATCGGCGAAGGTGTCTACGGAGAAGTATTTCGGTATCGCAATGCGGACTCCGTGGGCACGGCGACGGTGATGAAGGTGATTCCGATCGAAGGCGAGATGCTGGTTAACGGCGAACGCCAGAAGCAGTTTGAAGAGATTCTCAGCGAAATCGTCATCGCGTCGGAGTTGAGCAACCTGCGCTATGGCTTGCACAACCAGACCACCGGCTTCAATCAGTTGAAGAGCGTGCGATGCGTTCAGGGAGTGTATCCGGCTCGACTCATTGAGCTCTGGGAGCTGTTTGAGGAGAATCGCGGTACAGAAAATGATAATCCAAAGATGTTTGGGGAAGATCAGCTGTACATTGTGCTGGAGATGGCCAATGCTGGCTCAGACTTGGAATCTTTTGTCTTTGCGAACTATAATGAAGTCTACGACGTTTTTATTCAGGTATTTATGCGTTTTTTAAGAGTGTGTTGTGAACTATTTTGTTAATGTTGTGTAATTTTTCTAATAGATTGCGCTGGCTTTGGCTGTGGCCGAGGAGGAAGTGCAATTTGAGCATCGCGATCTACATTGGGGCAACGTGTTGATCAATCGGGTCCAGAAGGACACAAGGTGCAATTACAAACTGGATGGTGAATCGATAACGATTCCGGCCTCGACTGTCGAGGCTAACATCATCGATTTCACGCTATCGCGGATTACTTACGATAATATCCACTTCTATAATGATCTAGCTCAGGATCCCGATCTGTTCAATGCCGAGGGCGATTATCAATTCGAAATCTACAAATTGATGCAGCTTGCAAATCGGTATGTACTCATAATTATAAAATTTTTAATAAAAAAACTAAAATTTTATCTTTTTTTGTTTGTAGTAATGATTGGGAGCCGTTTCATCCAGAGACAAACATCTTCTGGTTACACTATATTCTAATAAAGTTGACCACTGCAGTCCACCTGGTGCGCAAGACAGTCAAAGGCCGCAATAAGAAGTATCTGCACACGCTCGTGGACTGGGAGAACGTCATACTGAAATACAAATCCGCAAAACACTTTGTGGTCGAAGTTATCCTGCCGCATGTCAGGCAGAAGTGAAATTTTTATATACAGAAAGAGTTTTAAAGAAAGACATTTCACAAATTTTCGTGTGTCTTCTATTGATTATTTATGTCATTCGTATAGGTTAATTTAATGCATTGTTTCATTTTTTTAGTTTGAATATATTTGGATTTGCTATGCTATGTAAACAGAAAATATGTGTGCTACATAGAGAATTATCTTATTTTTGTTCTGCCAATGCTATAAACATGTTTGCGCAGAGTAAATATGCTTTTCCCTCATTTACGCATTTATTTTTATTTGCTTGTTATCGTTTTAAATCGTTGCGTTACCGAGTTATTTGTGTCAGATAAAAATACATTGTAACATGGCGGTGAGCGGACTCTACTTTACCGACGCGAGCGGTGGAAATAGACGCTACTGTCACGCGCAGATTTTAACTAAATCCTGTGTGGATAACTCACGCGGTAAAACTTATTGCAATACAACGAACAACTCAATTATTCAAATTTATACCCATACAGATAAATGATCATTATACACGTAATTTTATAATAAAAAAATAAAATAAACGCTACAAAATTTCGTAGGTAGCGCCATCTTTCAGCGACTTGATATAAACTAGTTTGACAAGATGGTGATTTGAATAGTTTTCGTCGTCGATCGACAGAGGGCGCTATCATGCAGAAACTGTATTTATTGTGTTTTCTATTTTTTTGAATGACGTTATCCTGACTTTTAGCACAAAATGGACAAAAAAAAGCTTTAATTTTAACACAAATCAATATCTATATGATTTGCCTGAATCGGAAGTTGCTTTAAAGCAAATAAATATAAATCTGTATAAATCGAAACACATCCTGCGCGCTATAATGCCTCAAGCGATAAAGTTAATATAATCTTTGTGCGCCGCCGTGCGGGCGGACAAATTGGCAATAAAAATGTTCTCTCGATGTCGCCGGCAAGCGAGGGGTGGCCGTGGAGTGGCTGCGTTACTCCGTATTAGAGGGTGATTTGCCCCGGCGCGTCGGTTGCGACCCCAATCTCATGGGGTGTGCTAATACACAACTAATAATGCTATGTTAACACTTCCGGTCCAGTGAATCCGACGAAAGGGGCGCCGCCGGCAATAACATCCCATCGGTTACCGATGCCAATATTATATGCGACGCGTGCGTGTTCATTTATTAAAGAATTATGGACTCGCATTATACATTTTACGCTTATTACGCGTATTCAACGCTAATGCGATGTGAACGCCGAGAGACCTCTGGGCGGATTAACGCCCAGCTAGATAATTACAACCTCGATTCGATTAGCCGCCATTTTGTTTACTCAAATTTCGTCACACACACACGAAAAAGATTTTAAATCGATAACAAATAAAGGTCCGCGTCCCCAAAGTGTATTTTACTTAGTTTACCAGAGTTACCCTTTGCGGACATCTCCGGATGCGCAAATTTATGGTTCATTAAGTTCGACATTAAAGTTGAAAAAAGCAGCGAGGGGCATTATAAATATTTCTGGTAGATAAAACGCGTAAACTGCATAATAAAACAGGCCGGATTGCGGATTTCAGCGGATGGCGTTTACTTACATTTACTTTCCGAGCGGCCGGCGCTCGTCCGCCAGAGACGTCGCAATTTGTTCACATGAATAATGTCAAAGCGATTTGCTCGGCCACTAAAAGCCCTATCAGTGACGCATACGCGCGTCTCCTTTTGGTCGCTTTGGTCCTTTGCGATTCTCAATCATTCATTCGATACAAATGCGAGTTATGGCTGAAAGCCGTACCTATTCCATTTTCGGTCACTAAAGTCGTACACATCTTCTCACAAAGACCCAAAAGAATAAAAAAAACAAAGAGACAAAAAGCATCTCTGCTTAAATTGACTGTAACGGACGATTTTTTATTTTCCCGCTTTTTATTTGAGGTTAGAAAAGTATCAAATAATGTAAACTTACTGTGTTATGTTGGTTGCATATACTGGAATGGTCTGAATCGTCTGAAACAGAAAGAGAAAAAGGTTTAAATTGAGTGGAACTCAATAATACTCTGTTTTTATTTTCTTGCAAGTCCATGATTGAGGACATTCGAGGTTATTACTATAGATTGATGTGAGGGTTGTGTCCCTTCGTCCGCTTTCATCGCCGCACGCTTCATTGAGCAATACACAAGGATAGTAAACTTATCCTTCCAATTTTGATGATGAAGGGAAACGGGAATTGGATAATTACCAAGTGGAAAGAATTAAAAATCGTGTTTTCTTAAATAATAAAATGTCCGCCCGTGGGGCAATTTGTGACTTTCCGACCACAAATACTGTCAACGCTAAAAGAAGAGAAGAAAGCGAAGGGGTCCACTTGATGAATGAACGCGGGCGGCATTCACGGATCCATTTACTGGCAGATTTGCGCGGAGTGTGTGGTCGTTAGCTTAAGTAACGCGAGAATTAGGAGGGTTTCTTTCGGCGCGCGGCCGGAAACAATGCGCACACACGCATCCATCTTCCGGGAGCGGGGGTGGGGACCACCGAGGGATGACTTTTTACGTATAGAATATATATATGGGGATGTGTATGGTAAGAAAGAACGTTAGCTAAGTTTGCGGAGGCGGTGGAGGCGGCGTTGTTGTGTGTCGCGTCGCGCACAAAGAGTGCTTCCCCAACGCCCCGCGCGCACGCATTGTTATTCTAAGGTTTAATCGCATTATGCCCGCACTTTTATTGTGTGCCCTGTTTCGCATTATGCTTGCGCATTCGCGGAATCTCGTTTCGAAACACATTAATGCACATGCCGGAGGTTACGAACCGCCGCTTGCGTTTATGACTAATTACTTCAAAGCGCAAATAATTAAGCGCAACCATTTCTAATATCACTTTAATTCAATTTACATACAAGGGAAAGTTTATTGTCTATGAGTTATGTTAGAAAATCAACAGAATAGCCATGTTTTGAGGTTATTTCTCAAGCTATTCGTATTCATATATTTAAAACAACTAGATATAACGCAAAACTTTGTATAAGGACAAAATATGTAGGATAATAGGATCTGATCGCAGCGTCTTAATCTACGGACTATTCTCTATAAGATAGGCTAGTTAAAACAGAAATCTGAGAGATGAAATTTTCATTCTTAAGAAAAAATTGCCAAGGGGGGGTGCTTGATACTTTTTTTCGACGATTTTTGATAATTCATATCTCTTAAACTAAAAGTGATAGCAACCAGCAAATAGCTGATTATGAAAGATTGAAAAATTCTCTATCAGATAAAAATATAAAATAATTATATTTCCTACAGTAAAAGATCGAAAAATGCGACTAAAAGTGCTAAAAAGTGACATTTTGCAAATTTTGTCCATTTTTTTCAATCGCGAATATCTCGTAAACTAAAAGAGATAAATAAGATCTGATGGCAGCGTTTTTTTCTACGAACTATTCTCTATAAGATAGGCTGGTTAAAACGGAAATCGGAGAGATGAAATTTTCATCCTTAAGAAAAAATTGCAAAGGGGGGGTGCTTGATACTTTTTTTCGACGATTTTTGATAATTCATATCTCTTAAACTAAAAGTGATAGCAACCAGCAAATAGCTGATTATGAAAGATTGAAAAATTCTCTATCAGATAAAAATATAAAATAATTATATTTTCTACAGTAAAAGGTCGAAAAATGCGACTAAAAGAGCTAAAAAGTGACATTTTTCAATTTTTGACGATTTTTTTCAATCGCGAATATCTCGTAAACTAAAACAAATACATAGCTACAAATCGCAGTGACTATTCTACGAACTATTCTCTATAAGATAGACAAGTTAAAATGGAAATCTAAGAGATAAAATTTTCATTCTTAAGAAAAAATTCCCAAGGGGTGCTTGATACTTTTTTTCGACGATTTTTGATAATTAATATCTCTTAAATTAAAAGCGATAGGAACCAACGAATTGCTGATTATGAAAGATTGGAAAATTCTCTATCAGATAAAAATATAAAATAATTATATTTCCTACAGTACAAGATCGAAAAACGCGACTAAAAGTGCTAAAAAGTGACATTTTTCAATTTTTGCCCATTTTTTTCATTTGCGAATATCTCTATAACTTGGTTAGTTTGTCTCACAAACTAGGAAAAGTTACATTGTTAGTCCTTCAGAGACTTCAGAGACCATCCTTATTTAGACTTCATGAAATATTTACCAACATTTTTTCAAGAATAATTGAGTTTATAATATAGCGCAACAAAAGATTAAACAGATATTTGCTTATTTTTTCTTCTCTTGATGTATTATTATACTTTATTCTACCATATGCAGCGGTATCAAATTTTAAAAGATTAAAATGTAGTATTAATTATGCACGAGCCGCAATCGTTGGACATTATCTCGGTCCATTTAAATTTTATTCAAATCCCGATATGTTCGAACTTAGTCTGCGATGTGATAAGGTGATAAGATGGATTCCCCAGGTTCCTTCGGCCGGTTGTGTGACATGCGATATTGTTATTCATGGGCAGGGAGTGCGTCGAGGGTCTGCACGCAGGATGAACGATCCGGGATCCAGTTACAGTTACAGTTACCACCTTTGCGCTTGCAATTGGCTCAAATCTAACAATCTAACAATCTATACATGGGGTTGAAATTACCTTACTCAGCATTAATCCTCGCCAACGCATTTTCATCCCATAAAACATTCAAATAAATAAAATCCTTAAAATTTTAAATTTTTATTTATATTTATTTTTATTTAACTAAAATTTATTATTGTCTCTGTATAAAGCTAAATGTATTGCCCACCGGAAAATCAAAGCATCTTTGCGTAGATTCTTTGATAGTCTGATGGAAAAAAAGATGGCGCCGCGTGAATTTGCGCGCCGTTAACAAGTTCACGTCTCATGCATACGTAAACCGTGCATTCCATGTGCTTCTTACCGCCTCACACCCACCCCCGCGCGCTCGCTCGCGCGTCACCACTGCCCACACCCCTGCGTGCCTTTTGTGGCGAGTGCTTTCCGCTCTTTTGATGTGGGAAGCGGTGTGTCGGCGTTAATTTTTCACGGGAATTTCATGACGACACGTGCGCAATTGTGCGCTATTTGTGGTATGCAACACACACCGCACAATGGAGCGCTGCGCACTTAATTGCTCACAGTGTGCGCGACTAGCAGTCAACACAGAATCGAATTTGTGAAAATTGCATTTCCACACATCCAAACAACCAGAATATATTTTTATAAATGCATTAAATCGCCGCTAGATGGCTTTCATAAAAAACATAACCTCAATATAACATAACCTTATAAAATGTAGTTTTAGGTTATATATTCATAGTGCTACTCTGTGTTTTGTGTGTATGAGTAGTGAATTGAATGGAGGGTGTGCGATGGTGGTTGATAATGTGGTGAGAAGTGGCCGTCGCTTTGATTGGATACTGTTTAATCTTCGCTTCGCGTGACTGCTTGTTTATTGTGCGTTTTATATAAGAACACAAGAATGCTCGATTTTTCGAGCGGCGGCCGCCGTCGGCGACACGCGGCCGGAGTAATTACTCTCCGTTTGTGTTTCTAATATTCGAAAACACACATTTTTCGGTCAGCAGCGTATGCGATAGTAATCGACGCATTATTTACTTTTTCACCTTGTCATACTAAATTTTATTGGCTTTGCTTGACTCATTAACTTATGACAAATGACAATCAATTTGTTAAATATCAAAAAATATTACTGCGTTTCGAAAAAAACCGAAAAAAAACGTTTGAAAATGTTTGTATATGTAATGTAGTGTTTTCTACTCTTGGGTTGTAAAGTATTACGTACTCCCCGTGTGGAAAACCTTGTTTTCTAAGTTGGTTAAGTAAAAAACAATATTTTTTATGTTAAATTTAATTTTTATGGGTTTAAGTATGTAATTCATTATTTTCCACTCTAGATATGTAATATATTACTTACTCCCAATGTGGAAAACATTGTTTTCTAAGCAGGTAACCCCGAAAACAATGATTTTCATATTAATGACAGCAATGTGGAAAAAACTTAACTAAAAATATTTTTCACAATTTTTTTGATTTCCTCTCTAAATATGTAATGAATAATTTCTAAAAATACAAGACAATGAAATAAATACCTACATATAGAAATAATAAGTGGTATTTACAAGAGTAATATGTTAAAAGTTTGAAGTCAAAAGCGCAACTGAAGTGCGAGTAGCGCACAGAGTTTTATTGCTTCACGGTAATCCGCAACACACAATGCGCTAATAGTCGCACGCGTTGTTGTTCGGGGTGCAGACGGCCGGCCGGCCGCCGCCACTTCATTGTGCCGATTGTGCGTCATTGTGCGCGCTAAACACCCTTACTAATCACCCCCCAAACGCTCGCCCTCGACTCGACGATAATAACGCCGATACTTAACTTTCGTGAACGCGCGCGCGCACACACACACACACAGCCAAAAACCCAACACAACCACTCACTGCGCTCGAACATAAACGAACGGAAGCGGTTTTGGGGTTGCCATTACCATCCGCGAACACTTCACGCGACTTATCGAAATATGAAATTACATCGAGTAGCTACGAACGTTGCACATTTGATACTTGTGCGGTTTATTGTGAAACTCGAGGATGCTCTCTTCAATTCGCCAAGTTTCCAACTTGAGCGTCTAACTTGAACAATAATTTGCTTCTGTAAAGCTTTAATACGCAAACTGCAGTATACCGTGTGTTGCGAGTATGTTTGGTTGTCTATGCACGGCATGCAAATGGCGATTAACGCCGCAATAAACCAGTGAGTGTGTAATTTAATTCGGAGCGCACACACAAAGCACACTGCACGACGGGTCGGGATAAAAGAAACTCTTATATTGCTCGCATCAAGTGGAAATCGACCAATCGCGCATGCAATCAGGCGTAACAAAAACAAAATCAATTTTGCGCGGCGCACACTCGAGTCTAACCTATTCATTCGGCTATAGCAAGGAGACGAAGCACAAGACTGTTATCGAGTCGAGTCGA